GCTCTAAAATAATGAACCCGTTAATTAGTTTTCGTATTGAAATATAAAATAGTACTATTTATGGAGTGACTTCTTGATAAATAAAAGAAATAAATAACTGAAAAGATGCATAACATACAAATCCATTTTGGGAGACTTTGTAACTTTACGCATTTACAGAAAACACTACGATACCTTCTTTGAGTTGTGAAGCCAACGCTCAACAAACTCTGCAATCATGGTTCTCGAGGTTAGCCATCTTCTTCTTCGAAAGTTCAAATCTTTAGGGTTTCTATACGATATTGTATGATGATTATACTTAAATTTGATGAATTCTCAGGCCACTATGATCTGCGTCGACAATTCAGAATGGATGCGGAACGGCGATTACTCTCCGTCCAGATTACAAGCTCAAGCTGACGCTATTAATCTCATTTGTGGTGCCAAAACCCAGGTTCTTTTTCTCTTAATCAAGTTCTTCCCTTTACGAATTTTTGGTACCAGTTCAATTTTTTCAATAATGGTGTTTGTAATTGGAGTAGGCCAATCCGGAGAATACAGTTGGGGTATTAACAATGGCGGGCAAAGGGGTTCGCGTGTTGGCCACTCCAACCTCTGATCTTGGCAGGATTTTGGCTTGCATGCACGGTATTTTCATTCATTACTAATTTGCTTGTGTTATATGATTCTGATTGGAAAACTTTATATGTTTGCCTTGCTTATAGAGTCAAATAGCTGATAAAAATATATCTTTGAAGCAGTTAAGAATGGTTTTGGTTGAGTATAAATGATCTTGCTCAAGGGGGGCATTGGTCTTTAGAAAAGCCATATGGGAGCACAAAATAATAATTGAATGTTGTTACTTTTGGTTTTAAAGACAATGTTGAAAGGGCTTACTACTAGAAAATATCTATGCATTTGAGATTGGGTCTTACTATATACACTGTGAGAAAGTAACAAGAGATGGTTAGGCCTCTGCTTGACTCTTGACTATGATTCATTTTCTTTTGGATGCTGGTTGTTAATATTTTAGTTTAATGGGTACTCTCTCCTCTCTTCTTATTTTTCTATCTCTAATTCCTTATATATAGGTCTGGAGATGGGAGGTGAGATGAACATAACAGCTGCGATCCAAGTAGCTCAGTTGGCTCTTAAGCATCGCCAAAACAAAAACCAACAGCAGCGGATTATAGTTTTTGCTGGGAGGTATAGATATTGCTGACTTCTGACTTGCCCCTTTCCGTTTTTCTTTATATTTTCTTGCTGACCTCTAACTTATTTGCTGCCTATTCAGCCCTGTCAAATATGAAAAGAAGGTGTTGGAAACAATTGGAAAGAAACTGAAAAAGAACAGTGTTGCTCTTGATATTGTTGATTTCGGTGAAGAGGATGATGGGAAGCCAGAGAAGCTGGAGGCCCTTCTGTCTGCTGTTAATAACAATGACAGCAGTCATATAGTACATGTCCCTCCTGGTCCAATGGCTCTCTCTGATGTTCTTATAAGGTGCAGTTTTTAATTTTTGCCCATGTCTGTTTATATGTAAGCGTATAACCAATTTTAAAATTATGTGTCACTGGAACTAATTGGAATATATGTTTAGATTCATGATACTGTTTATAAAAACGATGCATGTTAAACGAAGGAAGAACAGAAAAGTGAGAATAAGAGGTATTGAAAAGACAAGAGGAGAATTTGTGGAAGAATATGTATATAAGCTCAAAGTATTATTTGCCAAATTACTTTTCAGAAATTAATAGGCATAAGTTTCTAATTTTCTTTCTATCTTCACATATGTTTTACGTGTCATGGCCAATTTTTGCTTGTTGAATAACACTGTGAACACATCACACCAGATCACTCTTATTATATGTCTCCAGTGATGATTTTTTTCCCCTATTTTATGGCAGTACACCTGTATTCACTGGCGATGGAGAAGGAGGAAGTGGCTTTGCAGTGGCAGCAGCAGCAGCAACTGCAGCTGCTATTGGTGGTGGTTCTGGCTACGATTTTGGCGTAGATCCCAATATTGATCCTGAGCTTGCTCTTGCCCTTAGAGTTTCTATGGAGGAGGAAAGGGCTAGGCAAGAAGCTGCTGCCAAAAGAGCTGCTGAAGAAGCTGGTAGACAAGAAAAAGGAGAGGAACCATCCTCCAAATCAGAGGATGTAACCATGACAGATCAAGCCAATGTTTCTTCTTCCAACGAGGATAAGAAACTTATTGATGATGCGGTTGGTTTCAATTTGCTTGTGTAGTTCTTAAAGTCTATATAATTGTTGGTTTTTATGTCATCATTAGTTATCATTTAAAGAACTGCTGTAATCCAAATTGGCCTTGTCTCGTGATATGTGTGATAGGTTGATGAGAATGACTTGCTGAAGGAGGCTCTTGCAATGTCAATGAATATCTCTGGAACTGGTCATTCAGCAGGTGATACTGAGATGTCAGAGGCAACTAGTGGAGATCAGGAGTTGGCTTTAGGTGTGTTTTTCTATTTCGTATATCTCAAATTATTTAGTTGTGTGTGGTAACTTTAGTTTCTTGTACTTGATTACTTGTGGAAATTGATGTACAATGTGTTTGTGTTTATTCCATTCCATGCACAATTGAGGGAACCCTATAGAAAGCTTAATTAAGGGACAGTGCCACTTCGTATTGTATTTCAATGACATTAAGTATTCTTGTGCAATTATTCCTTTCATTTGTACAAGTATTCTTGTACGATTTTTGAAGGTCACAATCCTTTCATTTTAATAGATTCTAGTTTATCTCTACAACTATTTGACTTCATATTCCTCCTTTTTTTTCCTTTTGATAAGCAACTTGGTAGCAATACCATCTGATGAATAATCCATTCATAGGTTTATACTTAGCAGTTCTTTCTCTTTACATGTTGAGTGGTCTACTTTCTTCATGTGTTCCACTGTGGGCTGTTCTTACTAGTGGTATCCTTTACTGAATCCCAAATCTATGAGTTATGAGTTCATGTAATTCATAGTCATTGCCATCGACGCTTAGCTGCCCCGAGACTAATTTGGTGAAGTTGGGCATCAGAATGTGATCACCTATGGTGTGGCTTTTTATTGATTGATTTTTATGTTTTACCTTGTGTCTGGTTAATATGGAATTTGATTTGCCAATATTCGGAACATTGACAGAGATATGTGATAATATTTGTTATTTTTGCATGCTTATTATATCTTTGCTGCATGCAGCTCTTCAAATGTCCATGCAGGAAAGTGCCGGAGAGCCCTCATCCCAGTCCGATGTCAGCAAGGTGTTGGAGGACCAGTCTTTTCTTTCATCTATCCTTGAATCAGTATGTCCAGTTGAACCTAGCCTGTGGTACTATATGTATAGCTATGTTTCTGTTTTTCTGATATGTTATTTTTTCCTTACAGCTTCCGGGAGTTGACCCCAATGATCCTTCAGTGAAAGATCTTCTTGCATCTCTGAAGAATCAGTCCGAGGTATGTTCACAAACCTTACACATAAAACTTCATGGGTAACGGGTTATGACTTTGATTATTCTATGTCATAAAGTTCATCTTTTGACTTGGTGTTAAGATCTATTATTGCGAGTTTCTAGATCTACCAACTAATGATAGTTTTTCCTTTCCTGTAATCGCTAGCCCCAACAAAAGGATGAAGAAGAACCATCGAACAAGGACAAATGAAAATGTTACTAGAACGACTTTTGTATCTTCGAAGTAAGCGTTCAAATTCAGAATCCAATTCTAACTATGATGAGGCCTTCTCTGTGTTGACCTAGATTGATTTTCTCAGAAGCATCTGTTTCCTCTGTCGCAGATCAATGAGCTATTCGTTCCAGGGGAAGGCTTATTTATGTTGTGGGAAGATGATACAGAAACAGATGCAGATTAGGTTTTCTGAGATTATGTTACAAGTTAATCAAGTTATGCTGCATGTTTTTTGTAATGTAAGCAATGGGATGAACTGTGGCAAACTTCATGGCGTCATGTATGGTTGTTTTAATTGACAAAAAGGGAGAGAAGAAAAGAACAAATAAATTTCCGGATGCTTTAACTTTGCTCCATCATAATTTGGTTGTTCTCAATCATTCAGCTGTTGCTCAATCAAATTTACGCCATCATATAACAGCTCATCGAAACCACCCTCTTTTATTGGCTTCTAATAGAATGGCTACTTGGTA